ACGCCGACGACCCAGAGCGTCGCGCCGCGCCGGAGCACCGGCGCGAGCGTCCGCTTGCCGCCGCCGAGCGCGAGGGCCGCCGACACGCCGACCATGAAGATGAAGAAGGGCATGACGACGTCGGCGATCGTCAGGCCGTCCCAGGGGCTGTGGTCGAGGACGGCGTAGGCGGACCCGGCGTCGTCGACGAAGATCATGAGGAGAACGGCGAAGCCGCGCACGACGTCGAGGGACCGCACGCGCGGCGGGCGGCGCGCGGACTCGGGTTCGTCGACGAGCATGGCGCTCTCCGCCGAACTCGGGCTACGCGGAGGTAGCGTTTTATAGCGAGGCTGCGCAGAGCATAAGCGAGGCAGCCCCTGGAGGAGTTTGCACCGTCAAACGTCATCATCAGATGTTGAACTCCTCTCCGAACTCGGAGCCTGACGCTGGGGCCCCGACTCCCAGTTCCGCTGCCGAAACCGCACGCAGGGTCGTCGCCGCCTCCGCGACGCTCCGCGCGCCCGGTCGACGCCGCGAGTCCCCCTCGACAGCACTCCGCGCACCCGAAAAGTTCCATGTCGTCGCCTCCCGCGGCGCTCTACGCGCCCGAAGAACCGCGGACGCCCCCGGGCAACGCGCGCGTGCTCTGGATCGGCGAGGGCCCGCCGACGCCGCCCCGCGCCGCCATGCCCCGGGACGTGCGCGCGAAGCTCGACGCGCGGCGCCACCGGTCGTCGCCGCCGTCCGCGCCGCCGGCGCCGCGCGAGCCCGGCGGCGGCAGCGCGCTCGAGCGCCTGCCCCCGGACCTCGCGACGCAGCTCCTGAACCTCGACGGCTACAACCTCGTCGCCGAGCTCCTCGCGGCGCGCGTGTCGACGCGCCTCCGCGAGTGGGTCGGCGATCGGCCCCTCGCCATGGTCTACGAACTCCGGCCCTTGCTCCGGCGCTGGCGCGACGCGGTCTTCCCGCCGCCGCGGCGCCGCGTCAACTCGTTCCAGCACTCGCCGTCGAAGCGCAAGGCGACGAACCGCGCGATCCTCTTCTTCTGAGGGAGCATACGCGGCGACGCGCGCCGCCCCTCCTCCCCCCGCTCCGTCCGAGCTCGGACCGCCTCTTCCCCGCACTCCCCCCTAACAAGCTCCCTCCTCTTCGAAGGCTAAGCGACGCGTCGTCTTCCCCAAACCGCGAGGCGGCGGACCGAGTTAGGGCGCGCGCGCGCGCTCACGCGTCGTCGTCGTCGTCGTCGTCGTCGTCGTCGTCTTCGTCGTCGAAGTTGCGGCCGAGGACGCCCGCCATGTTGTAGTGCGCGTTGCGCTTCGCGGCGAACTCGCGGGACTTGAGCTCGGCGTCCTCCATCTCCGCGACCCAGCCGAGCCGGGCCTCCGGGTCCCGGTCGCCCTCCGCGGCCGCCGCGAGCTTCGCGTTCAGCTCGTCGAGCCTGGCGCATCGCGACGTCAACGTGCGCGTACGGGTCCGAGAGACGGACTCTCGCGGTCCCTCGACCTCGACGGCTCGTCCGAACGTCGGCCGGCGCGAAATTCGACGCGACCGAGCGAGCGCGAGGCGGCGCGCGCGCGGAACGCCGCGCGCGCGAGGGACACACGGGTCGCCGGGGCGCGGCGCCGCGCCCGTCCATGAGGCTCGTCGGCGCGACGGGCTTCATCTCCGGCGACCGCGCCTCGCGGTCGGGGTCCGCGTCCGCGTCGTACTTCGCGTACCTAGGGGCGATGCAACTTCAACTTCAACGTGTGCGTGTCGCGCGCGCGCGTTCCGGAACATGCATCGACGCGTCGAGACCACGTCTCGTGTCGATCGCCCGTCCAAGAATCAGCCGAAACGAGCGGAAGGCGGCCGAGCGAGGCGAAGCGAGTCCGGCCGCGCGCGCGCGGCGGGCCGGCGCCGGCGGCGCGCGGCGTGTCGGGCTCGTCGATCTTCTGCCGCGTGCCGCGGTCCTTGTCGTGCTCGGCGATGGTCACCTCGTCCCAGGTGATGGAGGGCGGCTTCGCCTAGGGGTTCGACGCGTTGCATGCGCGTCGCGTCGCGACCGAGCGCGAGCGCGCGGCGCACCTGCGTCTGCGACGCCATCGCGACGACGCACGGGTCGAAACGCTGCGCGACGCGGCGCGGAGCCGACGACGGCGCGCGCGCTGCCGAGGCGCTCGTCGGGCTGCGGCAAGAAGAGAGCGCGCGCGATGGAACCATGAGGCACCTGCTCCTCTGGCTGCTGGCCCGGGCGGCGTCGCCGCTCGGTGCGGCGCCCCGCCGCGGTACGCGCCTCCGGGCCATGTCCCTCGACGACGCCGCGCCGGTGGCGATCGACGGCGACGAGTCGCTCGTCGCCGCGGCGAGCGTCGCCTACGACCCCGACGCCGCCGAGGCGTCGCTCTGGCGGCGGCCCGCGGCGTGGCTGGCGCGGAACGTCGAGCTGCTCCTGCCCCTCGTGGGCTTCGTCGGCCGCGTCGCCGGCGACCGCGCGTCGGCCGCGAGGCGTCGCTCCGGGAGCGGCGCGCCGGGGAGCTGCGGGAGATCCTGGGCTCGCTGGGCCCCGCGGTCATCAAGGCGGGCCAGGCCCTCGCGAGCCGGCCCGACCTGCTGCCCGCGGAGTACCTCCGGGAGCTCCAGAAGCTTCAAGATCGGGTGCCTCAGTTCGACACGGGCGACGCGCTCCGGCGCGTCGAGGCGTCGCTGGGCCTGGATCGCTTCGAGGACGCCTTCGAGCTGCTCGAGGCCGAGCCCATCGCCGCGGCGTCCATCGGCCAGGTCTACAAGGCGCGCCTCATCAAGGAGGACGTCGTCGTCGCTTTGAAGGTCCAGCGGCCGCGGTGCGCGGAGATCATCGCGTTGGATTTATACATCCTGCGCTGGTGGGCCCAGCTCGGCACGTCGACGCTGAGCGCCGTCTTCGACCGCAACTTGGATCTCGTGTCCGTCATCGACGACTTCGGGCGCCTCATCTACCAGGAGATCGACTACGCGGCGGAGCGGAAGAACGCGAAGCGCTTCGGCGACT